TAAAATTAAATGAGAAGTATTTTACGCTTACATGGAAATATTATAGTTTTGAGACTTTTTAGTCTCTAAAATCAATAAAAAAAAAAAAAAGTTTAAAACTCCAAAAATAAAATTGCAAAATAATGTCTGAGAATGAATATTGATAATTGAGACCTTTACATCAAAACACAGATTTTGATCACTTTTAACATTTTGTTTTGACATAAGTTTGTTTCTCTTTATGTTTTTAGTGATAGACTGAGTTGAACCAGTTTCACTCTGGAATGCAGAAATGGGATGTTTGGAGAACTTCAAATCTCATTAATTCTTTTTTTTTTTTTTTTCAAATGTTGTACAATGATCTAGGGAGGTATTCTGATCTACACCAGATGGCCTGAGCTCCACCAGAGCTAGGTTTATGGAACAGGAAGCAGTATATTTGCCAGACCCAGCCCCAGTGAGCAAAAAGCTTCAATTTTAACAAAAGCATTTTTGATGAAAAAAAAAAAATTAATTGAAAATTCCCATGAAAATTTCTTTTAGAGAATATCATCTCCCCTTGCTATGAGTTTTGGGAAAAAAAATACCCCAACCCCAGACCATGAATCTGCTAATGTGTTCCCTGGTCTGAGTCTGTATATTCTAGGTAATGGCATACTCTCCACAAAGATGAAGAGATATTATCAAGGGAGTACAGGATTTCCTTATTTTTTAGAAAATCAATACATATTTTTTAGTGCTTTAGAAACCATTAAGAGAGTCCATAGTTTCAAATTGTACTGGAGGGAAAAATAATAATTTGGATGGATAACTGTGTAGAATGAGTAGTTTTTGTAAAAAAAAAAAAAAAAAAAAACAAAAAAAAAAAAAAAACACAGACGTGGATTGATTTCAAATCCTATTTGGATGAAAACGTATTTGATGATTTTTAAATTGCTGTGACTACAAAGATGAATATCTATTTTTTGTGTGTGATCTTTTTTATTCCTTTTTTTTTTTTTTTTTTAATTTATTACAGCTCAGCTCTTTACTGGACTTAGCTGCCCTTCATACCACAGTGTCATAGTATCCTATGTGAATATTGCCATAAAGTCATGGTATTCCAGCTGAAGGTGTCAGTGTCCTTTAAGAGAAGTTATTGCAGTTGCCCCCTCCTCCTTTTACAGTGCAGGAATGTTAAGTACAGGGACAGTAACAAAGATCTGCATACCACCATGTACAACTTGTCCAAGGTCATAGTGAAAGTCCTGCTCACAGCCCACAGATGCTGATGTCAAGACTCCAAAAACTTGCCCAAAACAGAATTCCTGGTAGTGAGACTTCTTCTTTCTGGTGTTTACTTAAATATTTATAAATATTTAAACTGAAAGGTTTGCAAGGTCCTTATGATTTACATGCGGGCATCACCGGGCATGAGAAAGAAACCTGTGAGATGCTGCAGAGCTCCCCTTAATTTCTCCAACTTTAAGGACTTCTTTTGCTTTGCAAAGAAATCTTACCATGCTTCACAGCGTCTATCTGCCACATGGTATTTACTGTGCAAATAGTATGGGAAAGCCATTCCTAAAGATATGCACAGGGTTTACTGATATTCTCTGTGAATGTGTGCGGTGCACAAGGAGCAATGGGGAACTAGTTATTTTTAGATCTTTATTTGCTTATTTCATTGTTATAAATCAAGACGTCATTTTTCGATGGTCCATTTCATGGTTATTTTCACAAGAATATGCTACATTTTTTCCTTCATTCTTTGAGAGAAACCTCTTTTTTTTTACACACAAAAAAAAAGTGTCCCTGACTTACCTGTTGAAGAGACAATTATTACGGTTAAAAACAGCTGAAAGGGAAACAGCTCTCCAGCCTCATTTCAATGGAATTACCTAATTCACAACCCCAAAACCTGAGAAGTTTCCTACATTTTGGCAGTTCCCTGTCATAGGGGTAAATCACTGAAAAGGCAAAGTAATGTTAGGCAGGCAGCCCAGAGACTGATTTCCACGGACTAGAGTAGTGGCCTAAATACTGTCAAAAACCTGTTTCAGAAACACCCTTGCAAACGTAATCTTGCCACTATGTGTTAGCAAGAGCTCTGGAAGCCCTGCTGAGACCAGCAGTGGCTCTTTCCAGTACAGACTGCACTAAAGGAGGGGCAGAAGGAGAAGGTTCATGTCCTTTGGGGGAATCCTTGGGACAGGCCCTGCAAACAACAGATCATTTGGGAAATCTGTTATTTTGCCCGAGTTTCTCTGACTTCCAAAACACATACACACACACACAAACACTGAGGAAGCCTCAGGTTGGTGATGTCTACCAAAGCGAAGGACTGCAGGAAGGCAGCAATGAATCCAGTGAATGCTCTGAGCCCGCTCCATGTGTCCTAGGCCAGTGGCTAACCAATGGCCAGCCCTGAGTACAGTCAAACTTTCTTGGCACCTACCCATAATATTCCCTGCAGATGAACATTAAGTTCCCCATTAAGGCCAGCAAAACTTGCAAGCAATTAAATTTGCTACTTTGGGTATTAGAAGGGACAAACAGGTCTGGACATCCTCACACCGAACAAAATTCAGCTTTTGGGCTCTCCGTTTAGTAGAGCCCTCAGTGAATTTGCTCCAACTCCTTCTCTACCTGTGGCAATCACCTTTACTGTCCACTTTCTGCCCAAAACCAAGCACTATTTTGGGTGAATGTCATCTCACAGCACTGAATGCACCACCAGCATCACCACCAACCCAAGCCCCCCCAGCCCTGGCTGCTTCCTCCCCTACCAGGTGAAAAGATACATACTTTGATAGAAGCTGGGTTAAATTCAACTTCTTTTTTGGGTTCTGGTTCTGCCGGTTTAGGTGCTGGTTTGGGCTCTTCCTTCTTAGGTTCAGCCTTCTTAGGTTCAGGCTTCTTTGGGGGCATGCTGGCTTTCTGGTGGGCTGCTTTAGGAAGGGAGAGAAGGAGACAGACAGGAAAGGGGTGGCTGCTGCAGGATAAATCACCAGTGCACACAAGTCTTTATCTCTGTCCAGTCTCCTGCAGTCACACATTGCATCCCTCTTAGACCTGTCACATGCCAGAGCTTACAATAGGGCCCCTGCTATAAAAGGACAAGACATTTACCCAGCTATTTTAGAGCCATCCGATAGGGCATTGTAATGAATTAGCACTTAAATGGAAAGAGTTGGGGGATTTTGGGGCTGAGGCTGGCACTGGCTCAAGTATTTTTGGTGTGCGTTTGCACGCGTGTATGTGTGCAAGGGGGAGGTTGGGTTACGGTCCCGTTCCCAGTGATGGGTTTTGGCCTCCCCAGGGCTGTGCTGACGCCTTCTCAGCTCACCTGCTGCAGACTATCACTCTTTTTAAGGCTGGATGGCACCCCTGGCTTTTGTTGTGCCGTGGTCCATCAAAAGGCAAGCCTTGGTTTATATTTAGATATGAGGATGGAACAATATGGGATATTGACCATCATCATAACAGCTGCAGGGGAGAGTTCATGTCCCAGATCACACAATGGTCTTTTCCAGGCAAGGTGCAAAGAATCAGTATTGCTTATAGCAAAATGCATTTAACAAGCAGGGATATGCACACACACATGCACACACAGTCTGGGAGAAATAACACTGGGTGTCTGTAAGTACAGCCTCATGGCTGAGATTTTCCAAACTATTTTAGGGACTTGAATGCCAAATTCCCATTAAAATACCTAAGATAAGGGTATCCACTCAAAGCTTTCCTAACCCCAGCCTTACTTAAATAACCCTTTCATTTTTCTAAATCAGAATATGGCTCTCAGAGAATTCATTTCCCAACACTTCTATATTGTGCAGATTTTTTTTCTCCCTCCTCAAACAAGACAACTGCCTTCCAAAACGCAAATCATTTGAAATGGGGCTCTCTGCTGGTCTTTCAAGTAAATATGAGTTGAATCATAGATGTCTTTCTTTTACCAAGCTGCTATGTCGTCCTCATAATCTACCACTCAGACCCTTTTGAGACCCACCACAGCTTCACCAAGAACATTTGGGGAACACCAGGGAGGGTTGCTCTTTGGGTCTGAATACCATGGAGTGCACTTCCAGGCACATTGACTATTGACACGAGCCCTCAAGAGCAAGCTGGAGAGGTGTTTTGATGGTTTGGTGTTTCAGGCACAGCCTGGAGAATGGTATTTTCCCCTGCAGCCTGTCACATTCCAGGGAACTTGATTCTGGTCCCCTCTGTAGAGCTGGTCATAGAGAAAGGATGTCTCTCCACGAGAAGCTGTGCAGAGCTCTGGCTGTGTCCTCTGCCGGACTGTAGTCCTACCAGCTCTCTTCACCACTGCCACATCCACACCCTGATAGACCCCAACAGTCCCAATCCATGTGTTTGCATGGTCACCTGGGGAAGGATTTTCTAACATCAACTTATCAACCTATTGATCTCCTAAAACTCAGTGCAGCCAGGGGAATGGTTCAGCTTCCCTATGGTAAAAACCTACATTTGGTCCCTGGGTTTGTTAGGAGATGCAACAGAGATGCACCAGCTGATCCCACCCAGCCTTCAACTGCTACTGCAGGGGACATTTGTCTCCCATGGGGTTTTCACCAAACTGTACACCTGCCAGTCCCATCCACATCTCAGATGATAGAGTAGATACCAGAAAAGGCTGAAGAAACCCCTATGTAAGCTGTAAGCAAATTAATCCCATCCCTTGTGACTTACTGAACCACAGGACACCCACACACTCTTTGAGAGGCCACTGTAGAGTGATGCATCTCAAACGATGCCAGCTACTTGCATTTAAGTGGTGACCACGGATAGAACAAGAGGCAACGAGCACAAACTGAAGCACAGCTAAACATGAGGAGGCACTGGGGCACTTCTTTCCTGGGAGGGTGACAGAGCATGGGGACAGGTTGCCCAGAGAGGCTGTAGGGTCTCCTTCTCAGGAGCCATCTGGACACATTGATGCCCTCTAGGGGATCTGGTTTGAGCAAGGAGGTTAGACTAGATGATCTGCAGATGTTCCAACCTCAACCACTCTGTGATTCTGTAAAAGGATTTTGTTGCATTTATTTCTACAATGAATTCAATCATGGCTGGAGGAGAGTAAGAGTTTTCCAAGGAAACACCAGGGAGTAACTCCACCATGTTTCCAATACAGATTTCTTGATTGTCCTTGCAGAAGACAGCACAACCCCAGGAAATTCTGCGCTCTTCTAATTCAAAGCAGCAGAACGGCAATGCAAGTTAGCTTGTGCCCTTGGAGCACACAACCACCAGAAACACCAGAAGAGCATCTGAGCAGGCACCAGCTTAAGCTCACAAGTGTGTTTTATACATGTGAAAAAGCTACCAGGTCTTACTCCCGAACCAAAAAAAAAAAAAAAAAAAATAAAGGCACTGGAAAATATCAGACAATTAAGATGTCAGCAGCAGTTCAACAGCAGCACGGGATCTTGTCACCTCCACCTCTGCAAGATAAGAAGAAGCTATATTAACAAGGAAGGTCATATTCCACTGTCTTTTCTGAATTCCACACATCAGCCATGGCTTGTTAGGTTGGATTTTATTTGTTTGTTTGACATTTGATGATTTTTGCTTGTTTGTTTGTTTTGTGGGTTTTTTTCCCCTTCAGCTGTTCTCAATGAAAAACATATTAGGGACATTGGTAAGGAAGACCCAGAAAGGTGGCTAAAAAAACACCACAGTCTGATTCACAAATGAAGCTTGTAAAATTCAGTAGTCTTACAGTCATACAAAGGTTACCTGAATACATTTTGCATATATTCATTATAAAGTATATTCATGATATAGATGGCTCAACACTGCTCAGAAAAAAAAAAAAAAAAAAAAGAAAAAAAAAAAAAGCATTTTGCACTTCTGTCAAAATCAAAACTATTGGAACATCTTTTGCCACCTATTGTAAATTGTCAATTTTCTTTTGGAGGGGACATTTTTGGTAATGCAAAGAATTCCGAATTAATTATTTTGGATTTTCATTCGTTACCCTGTCTGTGTGTTCTTCTTCTAGACCCATGGTACTTGCCATCCTAGTTTTTGGTTTGTTTATTCATATAAGCCTATCAATTACCCAGATACCCTCACCAATTACAGTATTTCTCACACCTCAAGGTATCTTTTTGCTTTGTTTCTTCATCACAGTGTAGTGTAGATGGATGGCGATAGCTTCATCTTTGTGATTTCTGCATATATGAATGCATTTAAATATACAATGATAAGGCAAAGTAGGGAGGTGTTGTGAGTTTTAAGTACCTGTAGGCCTGGCAAACCACTGCTGGATGGGTGTTTTGGATCAATTCCATAAATTAAAGACACTCCAATGCCCTGCAAATCCTTCTGTAAACAGCCAGATCAATGCAACTAATCCTGTCCTAAATAGCCGATTTAGCTCTTCCATGAGGGATCCCAAGAGTCCCAGCAGCTGGAAGGCAAAAAGACAAAAAAAAAAAAAAAAAAATTGACCAAAAATTCCTCTTCCTATTAATAGGTTTTGAAGGGAAGAGGGGTGGAATGTGCTTTTCAATTTTTCAGTCATGATCACAACAGATGTTAGTGGCAAATCTCAGTGCCAAAAAGCTGTTTTAAAGTTGCCATGGAGTCCTACATAAGAGGCTGGGCTAGCTGTGAATTTTCTGAGATTGTCTTGATCGTCGAGACATGATAAGTTTCTCCTGAGAAATGGACTGGGATCTTCTTCAAAGAGAGCAGAGCTCATCAAGAAATTTCCCACAGAATAAATAAATAAATAAATAAATAAAAAGGCTTATGAACAAAAAGAAATATATATACATGAAAATGAAATATTCTGTTCAAAATACAAATCATTTAAATTTGGGAATGTCGCCACATCACCTTATGATTCACTTGTCCTTGATATGCCTGTCCCTCAGGTCTTAATGCATTTGCTGCAATTTGCCACACTCCCCCTCAAATCAAGCAGAGGAGATTGTACAGACTGTGTGAACCGACTCTTCCTGAGAAAAATTAGGACCTGAGAAAAGTTAACAGTTTTCATAAAATATTCTTGTGGAATGTTTGAACTGAACTATTTAGGGCCAAAGAGTATTAACTTTTAGATACTTATCTTCTCAACAAAATTAAATCTTCCTTCCCCCCTCCCGGTTGTTATTTTCCCCCATTAAAAATAAAAATAAAATAAATCTTTGGGTTTAATCTTCAATTCTGTCTTGAAAAATAACCATTAGTGGAAGCCCTCCAGACATCTTTAAGTAAGAGGTTGAGAGCACGTCAACGATGTTCTCACTCGAACCAAAAGCTGTTGTGCAACTTTTCCCAATATGGAATGTTGTCCCTAGAGTTGTAAGACAGCCACGGCTTGAATGGCATCCCCAGAGAACAGAGGAAAAGTGCTTTTAGAATATTTGAGACGAGAAAACAATTTATTTTTCTGCTTCTTCAGTCCCCTGCTCAGCAGATACATTGTCAGTTCTTGGACAAAGAAAGAAAACTGAACCACATCTGCTCATATGCTACTCAATCTCTGTACTTTAGTTCATATAAGTTATAAATAAAAAGTCAGATATTTTCAAATAGCAATGACATTTTAAAGATAGTTAAGAATAATAATTAAAAGAAAAAAAATGGACAGGGAATTTTAAAGAAATGTCCTTTTTTCTCCCTATTTTTGGTCAATTGTAGAGCTGTTCAGTTTTTCCACCTGTGCTTTAAGACCTGGGAGGTTAAACCAAGATAAGATGTTGGAACGAAGAGCAGAATGGGTTCTGTTTGTGTGGAGAGAGAAGGATCTGGTGGGCTAACTGAGAAAGTGTTTACCTGGTGGGAAGCTGATGAGAGTAAAGATGATGGAGTATGTAAATTAAGGTAAAAGTGATTTAATTTTTTATTTTTTTTCCCTGTGATTTCTGCTGTTGCTCTCATAATTCTAGGATGAATCATCTGACCTATATTACTGCTGGTCCCTATAGGAACATCAGCTTGAGAGACAAGCAAAGGCCTGCCTTTGGACCAACTCTTCAGCTGCTATAAATCAGTGAGTTCCACTGACTTCAAGGGAGCTATGCTGATTTATACCAGCTGTGGATATAGACCAGAATAGTAGATTGTCTGGCAGAAGCCATCATTTACTTTTTGACTATTGGGATCAGGAGAACACATGTTTGCTGTTCATCATTAAAAAGACAAACAAAAAAAAAAAAAAAAAAAGGATTTTTTTTTTTTATAAAAAGAAAGATAGAACAAAAAATAAAAACTATAAAAAAAACAGTATCTATGTAACACTGAAGATACCAATCAGCACTGGAAACACAAAGCTCAATGAGAATGTGCTCTTGCTCCTGAAGAGTTATGGGATTTTATGGTAAATCGGTGTATAGTGTATCCTATTTGAGTACCACAAGACATGGAGGAGAAAGAAAAAACTTTGTATGTTACACCTTCAGCAAACTTTGAAAGTCTTGCTGAAAAACCTGTAAAATGCTGCAAAAATCAACAGAATTTTTCAGGTCTTTGTTGAAAAGGAAAAAAGTGTTAATTGTTGTTTAAAAGGACTATTAAACAGTCATTTTGCTGGCTTCATGATAGCCCACTTCTTTAAGCTATAGTTATCTTCAGAAGATCATTTAGTTCTTATTAGAAACATTGTGGGACAGTGATGTCATTTAACTTTAGCATCAGTGAAATTCCTACCTTTTAAATGAGCGATGAGCTATGCCTTTTCTTCATCAAGATGAAGAAGTACTCCCAGACAATGATTCTTTCCAAATTTTGGTCTATAAAACACGTAATATGAGCGTCCTTCTGGAATTGTCTCTCTCTATATATATTGGCAAAGGAAGTTTCATGAGTTCAGAATGGAGCCTTAGTTTTCAGATGTTTAAAGTGAAGAAATTCCACATTTCCATACTCTTACAGCCCATTTCTTGCCCAGGAGGATATTGCAATTTTCAATTTTATTTTGGGAAATGTATAAAAATAATGCATCCCTTAATTTCTAAAGGGAAAAAATATCTACCCCCAGCCTCCATCCATCATAGGTTTTTCTGCACTTGTTTCTGGGGCTAAAAAAAAACACATAAATATTCTGAGAACTGTCCTTGTTTTAATAATTATGAGCTACAAGCAAGTCAACTGATGTTCTTCTCAAGGACAAAGTAAAACATCAGAGACTGACAGGTTGAGAACAGGTTTCCACCCATATTACTATCACTGTTTACTTAGGATACAGTTGACCTTGCCCTAAAATCCTAGAGTGGAGGCTGAAGGCAGAAAAGGTAGATGCAAATCAATTTATCCAGAAATCTCTTCCACCACAACTATTTCGACATTATTTTTTTTTTCAACTTTACAAAATCCATTATAAGGAAAATCGGATACATGCAGCTGATTTCAGTGGGGCTGTGGCATTTTACTCTCATCCTTTCTGATCTTTTGCTCTCTCTTTTTTGGTACTGGATGAGATCAGCAGCTCATATGGCACTGCGACTATTTTTACTGCCTTTGACTGTCCCCACTTGTACTGTAGTGTGGCTGCTGTAAATTTCAAAGCTGAGTGTTTCAAGTTGTTACTAAACCACTACTAGAGACAGCTGCAGTACAAGGGGTGGACAAAGGTGGATTTCTTCCTTTCTCCCTGGCTGTGCTGTTTTTTGTGACATTAGCTGGAAAACGGTCCCAGGGACCATTAAGTAGATGCTACTCTCTTCTAGCAACCTGGAATGATTTCACAGTGATCTAGCTCTGTACTAGGAAAATGACCCCAAAGACCACTCAAGTGTTACATGGGGGGAAAAAAAAAGGAAAAAAAAAAATTAAAAATAAGTGAATTCACAATAACATCTGAGAAGAGGTCATCCACAGAGTCTGGCCACTGTTATCGACCTCATGTAATTAAGACTGTGGTTTTCAAGTTTGTAAAAAATCTGGTCAGGGACTGAAATCGAGTGTTTCCTTGTTTGAAGGAAGACACAAAATGGCAGCAGGTTGTTATGAAAGCCAAGTTTACTTTTGCTTCCACACAGGATCTACAAGTGACCTTTTCCTCCTTCCCCCTAAATACACACACTCATTAGTATTATTTTCCATTAGGTTCCTCTTTAGGAACTAATAGAAAGACTACAATGGAAAGAGGGAAAACTACCACACACTCTTCGAAATTTGTCTTAATCACTTTTCAAAGGCTCTTTGAATCTTCCCTCTCTCCAATTGCTAGACAAGAAACCTGAAAGACTAATCAGGATATACAGATATAAGGAATGAGCTCCAGCCAAATAAAATTATAATTCAGGCTGTGAAGTTGTAGTAACTGCTGCAGTATTGCTGTATGTTCAAAATCTCTGGGATTAGCAAGGCTCCCAGATTGAGTATGAAACTCCAACAGCCCTGTTCCAGTGCTCTCAGAGTGACTGCAGAAGTGATATCCATGATTTTCTGGGGCTCTTTCTATCCCACTCATTACCAATACCCCATCCCAGAGTCCGTTGGGGAAGTTTCCTGGAATTACACAATATTTCCTGGACATACACATCAAGCATAGCTTTGGGAAGCTTTGAGTTTTTCGTATCTCTTGATGTGATGGGAGATGGAGATGGAAATGTCACATCACAAGAAACAGACTTCAACAAGCCATGCCTCTGTTGGAACTTTCTGTTCAACACCAAAGACAAACATACCTGGCTTATCTCATTTATAGTTCCCATTGGCCAAATCCTGTTTAGAGAGGGGCACTATCAATTGCAAATGCACCATAAAGACATGTGATCAGCCTTGTCACTCATTTCTTTTTTTTTTTTCATTACCAGAATAACTTAAATTATGGACCATAACAAAAAAAAAAAAAAAAAAAAAGGAAACTTTTGCAGCATGGATTAAAATAATTTATCATTTTTCATTACAAATTCAGTCATGGGATCTGTAACTTATTGTTTTAGTCTCAGATCTTGAAGTCCTAGCATAAACCAGTCCCAGAATGTTAGTTACAGACATGGAGAACAGAAGTGTATAGAAATATTAAATAAAACATAGAAATAAAAATATCAAAAATTCAGATAAAGAGGGTTTTTTTGTTTGTTTGTTTGTTTGGTGTGTGCGTGTGTGTGTGCATGTAAGGATGGATGATGTGACCAGAGCAAAACAAAAACAGAGAATCTGTGATAGAACTAGGAAAGACAATTCTTGAGGAGTTTCCATGATTTAATATAAATCCTGGGAGCTGAATACAGTTGCTGCAGAAGGCACAGCATCTATGCAATGGGGACATACTCATGAAATCTTTCACATTTTTTACAGTGGGTAATTTCATTGTTGTTGATGCTCTTTTTGTTTGTTTTACTAAGTAGATGGGGTATCAAAAGGGAACATGGAGTCCTTTTTTGTGATGTCACACATGTAACATTAATGCCACTTCCCAAAATACTCAGCTTCGGTTTTTATGCAGTGGAATTTCTGGCCTGGTTGTGAAATTCAACCCACCCCACGAAGGGCTGTAACCCAATCCGAATCGACAGCTTGGGAACAATAGCCACATGGTGACGGGTTGGCAGAGGAATGCCAGGAATGTCCTGGGCTGAAGGACTCAAGGGCCAGCTCTGCTCTGAGCTCTCAAAGCCTTGGGGACCCTCCATGAGGCACTGCTTGCCTGCTGAAGCCACGGAGGTGTGAAAGGAGAGCTGAAATCTGGCAGCCGAGTTGGTGCTCAAGTATGTGCAGAGCACGTGGAGTTTCAGATCTGTGTGATATGTAGACACATCTCAGCCCATGAACAAGGAATATGATCCCATGCTAAACCCCCAAGCATTCATACCCAGGACTTGCCCTTGGGTGTATCTCTAGTTGCGTTTCTTTCTCTGCCTTAGTTGTCATCTTAGCCTCTCATGTTTTTACTTTGTTAATCAGCTGGCACGTTTCTTAAGGAGCTTGAGATATTTTTTAAAAAGGTATCCACCAAGCATAGGTCTTGACATATACTTGAACTTTCATTATAATAAATAAATAAAATTCCTTGTACTTTTCTTTCTTTTTCCACCAGTTTTTTGATTTCACCAAGAGATGTCCCACATACAGACCAAAGAAGCTAGAATAAGACTTGTACAGATACCCAATGATTAAAGACTGAACAAGCTCTGTGGTTGGCCAGCTGATTCTCTGCTAACATTCACTGAATCTTATCTGAGATAACCGAGGCAGAGATTTTGGGTCTGGAAATCTCTGTGCCATGAGACAGTTCTATGTAATATGCATTTTTCACTGGGCAGGCTGGTACATATCACTGGCCTCTCAAGTGTTCAGACTGATTTTTTTTTCCCTTGACGCTATTCTCTGCTGATCACAGAGAAGGTCTAATGATGAATACCCTTCAACATGGGCAGTACACTCACAAGACTCTTTTCCCCTCTCACCAAAATCCTCATACACTTCTCCAAAGTGTCTTGAGTGTGTTGACCTACCAGGCATCTGCCAAGCCCACCTATCTGATTTTGCCAAAAAAGAGACTAAAATTAGACTATTTCGTAGTGGGAAGACAAATGTAGGTGGATGGCATGTTGCAGTCATCCTATGATCGGTTTGTTAGAAGACATGAGAGAAACACAGTTGGTGTTGTGGTCTTAGCTTCTCTTAATCCTTTAACTTTCTGTTTAAAGAGATGCCGAGGAAACTTGGTGCTTGTGGGATTACACTGTTTGTGTAGGATGTATTTAATTGCCAAAACTTCCCCCTAAGACACAGCCTATTTGAAGTGTATCTATGAAGCAGGCAAAATCTGAAAATTAAAACAAGGAAGCCCACCCCCACAGAGAACATCCCAGATCTCTGTAGAAATTGTCGATATCAGCAAATAAAAGTACAAGAAATAGATGACAGCCTGATCCTGCCCGTTTTCAGTTCCAAGAGTTCCTCCAGAGATGCTCTTGTGGTTTAACCCCAGCTGGCTGCTAAGTACCACCCAGCCACTCACTAACTCTCCCCAGTTGGGATGGGGAAGAAAATTGGGAAGGTAAAAGCATGAAAGAGATAAAAACAGTAGAGATATAGACAGCTAAGTAGGTAAAGTGAAAACTATGTGTACAAGTAAAGCAAATAAAGGAATTCATTCTCTACTTCCCATCAGCAGGTAGATGTTCCATTTCTCTTGATGTTTAATAGTTTATTGGGAAGACAAACACCATGACTCTAGATGTGCTCCCCTTCCTCCTTCTTTACCCCAGTTTTATTGCTGATCATGATGCCACATGGTATAGGGTATAAGACATCCCTTTGGTCAGTCCTGGCCAGCTGTCCTGCCTGCGTCCCCACCCAACTTCCCATGCACTCCCTGTTGGCATTGCAGTGTAAGAAGTACAAAAGTCCTTGACTCTGTATAAGCACTTCTCTGCAAAAACTAAACATCTGTGTGTTATCACTGCTATTTTCATCAAAAATCCAAAACACAGCATCATATAAATCTCTACAAAGGAAAAAAACAAAACAAAACTTTAACCCAGCTGAAACCATGACATTATATTGTACAGAAGAAGACAAAAAAATGTCATGGGAAGAGATTGTGTGCAATATGAAGTCGAACTCAAGCTACTCCAAGGAGACAATGAGATATGTCCCTCTCTGTGTCTGATTCTCACAGAAGATATCATTCTTTTTCAGAAACAATTCATGAGCAATGGCCCATGAGTGCTGCCCATTGGAAATCCTGCCCCCAGCACATAGAAAGACAATCCCTTCTGCCCTAGAAAACAACAACGTATTGCCAGGGGAAAGCACTTGATAGCAACTGAAGTTGCTAACAATGTTGGGTATCCCTGTCAGGATCTCAAAGGAGTGTTTGAGTGCACATCAAAGCCGATGTATGCTGAGACAGAGCACACAAGCAGAGCTTGGGCTCCAGCTCATGGGATAAGAGACATGTGATCCCCAGGAGCCCAAGCCAGTCACATCTTGGTTTTACAACACACCGCAAGGACGTAACAGAAGAAGATGGTTCCTGGAAAGAATGCCTCCAATTCATTCTTCTTGACGTCAATAAGCCAGAGATATGCTTGACCATTTGAAAGCATTTCCAAAACCCAAAGTGGTTCTGTAAGAATGTTCTGAGGTTCTGATATCAAAGCACATTTTCTTGCTGTCTGAATTGTTAAACTGACTTATCTGGAGCTGAAATACATAAATCTGTGTGCTTGCATTGCCACACACAGGCCTATGAACACGTGTAAGTTACTGTGTAAATACATACACATGTAAGAGGAAGCGAAAAATATAATGTATTTCAATGAATCTGTCAAGGAAACATTTGCATTTATGAATATATGTACAGAAATTTGTGCATATTACACAATCTTTTTATGTATATAGTCAATATAAAAGGATTAATAATATTGTCATTAAAATTATATATTCAAAATCTGTCTGCAAATTTTGCTCTTGAACTACCAGAGGACTTTCTGCTATTTCAGTATTTTCTGACAGGAGCACTGAACAGAGGCAATATTCCTGAAATTCCTGGCACAGAAAGAATAGTAGAGGAAGGTCTACAGTCCTTCTGGCAGGACGATGGAGAACTGGGACTTGGTAAAGGAGGATTAGAACAAAACTGAGAGATTGGTCTGGAGGCAGAAAGTGGTGGTGATGCTTTTTTAGAGTTTGGCTCAGACCTGAGCAGTTGTGCAGTGCCTGGCAGTGAACCTTGCAGCAGATCCTGTACTTACTGGGCAGAGAAAGACCTGTGGAGTGAACAAGTCCCAGTCCCATTGTCATGAGTGAGATGCTGCAACTGGTTCAGAGCTCCTCTAGTGTCAGTGCAGTCAGGAGCCTCCTTAAACTTTTAATGGGATTATTGAGCATAGGATAAGTAGTTCAGTGTATCTCCAAAAGATAGGCAACTGTGATTATGTTATCATTTATCATTTTTAGATTTATCTAACTGTGCAAGATAAACTTAATGAAATGAAAACAGAGTACTGTGTGGAAGTGGACACTGCTACATCCCATTCCCCATCCCCAGATGATAGAAACATCTATAGAGAAAGAGAACAGTCGACAACTGCTTATGTCTCTGAGCTTTACACACTTCATTTACTCAATATCAGTTTGCTTAGAACCTTTCCCTGTACACAGCCACTCAGATAGCATAGGAAAATTACAGAAAAAAATAAAAATGTTATAAGAAAGATAAACTAGTCAGATAGAGGACCTGCCACGTTAATTTTCCAAGTCTCATAGAGGTGTTTTTTTTCTTTTTATATCCCCCTACTTGTGTCATGTTGAATGACAGCTGCAGCAAGAACAGTCATATTCACAACAGCACAATGCAGGCTGAAACAAAGCAGCACGTCACCCTCACTTACATCTGGACTGCCAAGAGGGAAATATTAAGTGCAGTCTGATGACAGTATTGTTCTCCCCATTGCCATAAAAGAAGAGTGTTTACCAGATTTTCCCTTCGGGTTCATCAGCTGTGAGGAGCATTGTTTCACAAAACATCAGATCCCTGGCCACCACTCACAAGGTGTTAGATGAAGTGATGGGCGTTGCTCAGATCCCAGGTTAATAGGAAACACATGAACCCCTGACTCGTTACTACACAGGCTCAGAAGTTGATTTAAAGGGAGGGAGGAAAGGGAAGAGGCTTCTAGTTGTGTAAATCCTCATTTGATGATTACTGGTTGGTAAGGGGTGAGCTCCTATGTTTGTGATTTGGGGATGGCCCCATGCTATGCAGCCGACCCATCTCACTCACTTGGCAACTCATTAAATTCTGTAGACAAACAGGCAGAGACACAGAAGTTTGCTGTTTGTGTGAGGAGAGGCTTTCCCCAGGTGCTGCCTTGTATCACAGATCTGGATAATACTAACTATGAGGGCAGTGTAAATGAACTGCTGTTTTTCAGGCTAAAGAAGAATGAGGTGGTGGAGAGAGGAAGACAAGGCAAGAACTTGTTAACTTTAAGCATGAGAAAAAATACTTCAGTGCATATAAAAATACCCTGTTCTCAAAGTCTGTGAAAATTAAGAGCTTAAACTACAGGATGGTTAATCTTTCTGCTTAAATGCTGGGAGAAGCTCTGTGTCAGGATGAATGCTGTATCCTGGAATCTGTGTTATGGAAAACTTTTGCCTGCTGGAAAACTTTAAGGTGAGTTTAAGCAAACTGCTGTCAGGAAGATCATAAATGTAATTGTTCCTGCCTTGGGACTGGAAGGTCTTTCAGGGTCTGCCAGGACATTGGGATTCCCTCTAGGAATCAGTACTAATCCCACCCTCTCAATCACCCAGGCATGAAAATTAGCTGCTTGGGTTCCACTCAGAACAAATAAATCTCAACAACCCTATTGCCTTTATTCCAGTTCATTGGTATATTGTGCCCTTTATTTAGGTTTGCCATCCCCTTTTACCCAGCTGCTGTTCTCGTTAGCTGACAACCATTAACAGTTTCTTGTTCCTACTCATTTAGAAATTCTTTATGGCCATATGGATTAAACAGGAGAAAAAAATAAATAAATGTAAATAAATATCACTAAATATAGTTAAGGCCAGCTGGCTTTAGTTACAGTTGTCTCAAGGCAGCCATTCCAAAAGCAATCCGAGCAAAGTTCTATGGCATGATCTATCAATTGGCCAACATCTTTGGGGGTTTACTGTATCCCCTGCAGTGAAATCGTGCCCCTGTGTAATACAATGATGCTGCATTCCAGACATACTTTTCTGCTGAGAGGCAGTGTTTTGGATGCACTGGGATTGATTTCCAGACATCCGATCCCAGGGCTCTGGTTTGCATTGAAGGAATCACATTGAAACCTGGATGAGCTCAGTTAATGAAGGTGACCTCATGGGAAGGAGCCATCCGTGTGGAGAGTCCCCCAGCATGTTGGTGAGGGATTTCACAGGGATTACCCATGGGTGAGTGAATCAAATTTAGCAAAATCTCACAGGCTTTTCAATTGCTGCCCTCCCTGGTCGTGGGGCAGATCACTGAGCCCAGTGTGTCAGTGAATGGTACCTGTTATCCAAGCTATACATGCAGGTAAACTGGTGGCAGGTCAAGTTCCCTGGGAAGTTTTTATACAGATGGGATACAGCTCTTCATGTTGAACAGCCTCCCTGACCAAGAAACTGCTGATTATACAGTCTATGAAATATGACATGGCTCGTGAGCCAGATGCCACCTGCACATCATCTCTGTCCCACCAGAGGGACTGGCAGGAGCTAAATGAGTCTAGAGTGGGTACTTCTAATCTCTAAGAAAAGTAAAGGAGGAAGGAGAGGAGACCAAATTACAGAGCCAGGCAGGCAGATATTGAGGCCTTAGCCTTTCTGTTACTGGGCCTAGAAAAATTTTAGCCTCAGCTTCCTCTATCACTTAAGAAAGATGGTAGGTGGTGAAATGCCCTGCCACCCCCTCCACAGGTTCATTGTCTCAGAAATGTGTCTTAGAGCCAGCCCCATTCTGCCTTGAAGTATGGATGAGGATTAGATGTGTTCTCAAGATTTCTCCCAACTCTGATTTGATGTGGTTTTCCTGGTGGTTTCTGAAATGAGCTAATCCAGAATCTGCCAAAGTCAAAGGAGTTTTTATATGTGTAATGCCAAACACAGAAAGTGGATAGCTGTTATATTTAGGTACCATAACTCATCCTTTCTGAAAGGGATTTCAGATAGTACCATATTCAGAGGGCTGCAGTCCCATGCCAGATCACATTTCCCCAGGGTCTTTCCTATGCTGAACAATTGTTCATGCACACAACTCATTTCTCATATTGCTTCACACAAATGGCCAGAGAGGATTCACCACTAATAGAGAAAAAGGACAGCAGGCAGTTATGATGTCCTGGGGAGAGACCAGAGGTTCAGCTGTCAGTGGATGGACAACCTCTCACAACTGTCTCACCCAGACAGGACAATGTTGACATTCATTATTTACTCCAGGCAAAATCATTAAGGTTTGCTGATCAGGGCTTGGTTTTATATATAGCTGGTGTGGTTTTGATCTCCCCACTGTTCTTCCTTATCCCCAGAAGAAACCTCCAGCCCTTTCAGTCAGCAAAACAGGAGTGGTGGGGGGACACTTTAATCCATTTCAGCACAGAAATGGGTAACCATGTGGTCAAAGGTAACAGCCAGATGAACTGTTTCACTAGCAAGTTGTGAAGAGAGAGAACTCCACCAAAGGAGCTGCAGCAAACAGCCAGGAGGAGCTAGAAAGTGGTTACGTCAGGTAAAAGGCAAATCACTGCACGTGTGAACACAGAAAGGAAAGTGATCGTGTGTAATTAAATAGTGTTTATAAGACCTCATCTTTCCCCCAAAGAATGACAAAATCAATTTATTCTGTTTAGGGTTATTTCAAGCAGCACTTCCTGAGAGTGTTCTTCCAACAGGAAACTTTTTGTTATCATTACTTGACATATGGAAGAAAATTGAATGGGACCTGTCAAATAGCAAAGCTAATAGAATCCCCTTTTGCTCCATTAGGCCTGATCCTAATCTTATTTATAAATCTTTCTCTTAACAAGGCTTCATTTTCCTGCCTGTTCCAAGAAAAGCAAAAGTAGAATTAACAAAGTATTTGTAAAACTAACCCTTGCTCTGCAATTTCTGAGTTGGTTGAAATCTCAGGAAAACATCTCATTCGTGTCTCCTCTGCCAAGACAGAACTGAGTCTACCTGTCATTCCCAGCAGAGGTGTGCCAAAAATTCTGCAGGGCTGAGAAATTCTCTGTCTTCCCAGGTAAAGCATAGAAACTATCCTTCCCCAGGCCATTCCAAAATTTTGGTGGATTTTGTTGTTCATTTTTGTACAGATGCCTACACTGATTCATCTTCATTGCAATTTAACACTCTGACTATTTGGCCTAACTGGACTGGACGCTGAGAACACAAAAATATCTTTTCTTCTCTATGTTATTTTTACACTGCAGATTCTCTTTATACTTCTAGGGAACATTCAACTACTTCAGGTTTATATAATACCAGGCCATACAGAAAATTGCTCCCATTGGAATAGTACTGTACACTAAATAATATTAATAATAAAAATAAACCTTTTCATCTACAGATTTGATTAGTAATAGTTTGAATGCAAATGGGATTGATGGGGTAAAACAAGCGAGGAATTGACTGTATTAGTGAATGCTCCAGGCTTTGCTATGCAAAGCAGAGTTCCTTTGTTCAGTGCACTCTTTGGTGTTTGAAATAAATTAATGAGGTCATTAACAGTAACACATTGAACTGAGATAATATGACAATTTACAATTGTTTGATGCAATGTCAGAATCATATCTATCAATTTTCTGGTAAATATTCCCAAAGCGGAGGGAGAAAGAAGTAAACACAAGGAATTCATGCTAGCAGCAGTGTTCCTCTCTGTTCCCTGCTGCATCTGTGCCACATGCAGTGCAAATTTCTGCTGTATGTTGAATGCTTTTTTTTTTTTTTTTTAATGCAGTAGTAATGGGAAATAGTGGATATGAATATTTAGCAATGGAAATATGCCATGTAGCCAAAGAGGCAAATTTTGCTCATCAGTTTGTGCATGTGTTTCATAAACAAAAAAGGAAGTCTGTGTTTGGGTGCTGGGGGAGATGCTATAAAGTATTTATTGCAACTTGTTTTTGTAAGTCTTGTCTAGCAAATCCATGTGGTTTCCTTCAAATTTTCAGTAATAAACATTTAACAACATATTCCACCATCCCACTTATATAGGAGATTTTGTTGGGTGAGTGAAAAAAATTGCTCTAAAGGAACAAGGGTTGCTGTGTTGCAATGTGACAGCTATGTACTACAGAAAGCCTGAAAGTCTCGGGCTCATTGCTTCTGGTAGATGACCTGGAGATGAGACATCTTTGTCCTGAGACTGGGAGAGACCTTGGTATTTTATATAATGCAATATATACTTCTGATAAAAAAAAAAAATGGTTCCGTATTCTGTCAAATGATGGGCAGAAATTACTTCTTATGAGTGTAAGCCCATGGCTCAGAGACTTAGTGGTTAAGAAGATAATTCGGGAGATAGAATGTGTTTTAACCTCCTCTGGCTAAGCAAAATCATGGGGAAAAAAAGAAAAAAAAGAAAAAAAAAAAATTATGCTCAAAATTAAGTCAGCAGTTGATGGACTGTTCTTTAGAAGTGCCTAATGCTCTCCAATAACTGGAGAGGGATCTAAGTGACTAACTCCAGTGTAGACATCTACCTAGCTGCTGTCTAATGAGGTAAAAACTGCACCCCTCAGGTCCAGCAACAACTGACCCAGGATCTCTCTCTAGCTATGTATACATGCACCTCCAGAGAGTAGTTTTCCACCTGAATAAAATTACAACATAGGAGGAGCTGCACTGGGACAAACATCTAGTCCACCTAGCAGTCTTTCTTGGAAACTTGCAAATGGTAAATGCCAAGGAAGAATATAAGATCAAGAATATATCCTCAAAATAGATTTTAGAAATTTCTGGCTCAGTGAATTCCTGAACCGGAGTGAGTATCTTTATACAGAATTCTTCTTTCTTCTTTTTTTTTTTCTTTTTCTTTTTTTTTCCCTGTCTTTAACTTGTTCCTATTTTGA